GGAAAGGATGACACATCAAAACAATAAGATTAATAATTCATCATTAAAAACTTTTAATGAAATTCCTTAAGATCAAGAACAGGGGAAACTTCCTGAGACACTCCCTCACTAGGAGTTTTAATTCACTTTCGCTCAACTGTCTAGAGGGTTGGTGTTTCTCTCTTATTCCACTGAATCAACACTACCATAGGCTTGCTTATATTCTCGCTCTCCACAGTTCTTATGATAAATTAAGCAGATCAAGAGGTCTTTCATAAGGTTATAACGTGGCCTGGTGAAAGGGAAGGAAAGAATTTGGGACAAAAGTTTAAGATTAATTCATATTAAGAAATGGAACAAGTGTTGTGCGTTTCTTCCGGCTGTAAAGCTTTTCTTCTTCGTTCCAGTTCTTTATTTTCTTCATTGAACCTTCTCTTTTTGGTCGTTTTCTTTCTAAGCGTATTTTCTTTCTTTTCGCTTCTTTTCCTTTCTTTGTTTGGAGCATTTTGCTCGTTCTTTTTTATTCTAACCAATTTTTCTTCTTTCTTCCTTGGGCTTTGCCCTTTTGCATGTACTTCTTCTTTCCGTTGAACGCTTGTATAGTCACAACTTGTATCCACTCCTTACTTCAAATCTGAATTTAATCTTCTATTAAGGTGAGGATTTAATTGGAGAATTGGCTATTCACATTCAAGGGTTTTTCATGAATAAAAAGGTCTAGGCTCAAGGGGGCTTAACTAGGGAATATCATAAAGGTTAGCTATTTGGCCATCTAGTTAGAGAAAGAACATGCCTCTATCATCTCTTCTAAATATATCACAGACTATTTTAATCAAGAAACAAAGCAAGTTCTAGAGTATCTCAACAATGGAATGCACACTCAATAAAAATTTTCTGTATAGGCTCAAAACCTCACGGCTATGAATGCACAGTAATTTCCTTGTTCTTTTTCTAAAATAACTTCAATATCAAACAATATTTTCAATGAATCATGTCACTTATTGCAATGATGTTCATAAAAGTGAATATGGGTAAGTGCATCATCATGCTCTTAATCAATTACTTATTTAAATTCCCGCCATTTTTCCAATTAAAACACTGAGAAACTTTGAAAAATTTGTAACAATCTTCACAAAAAATTTTGGCTTGGGGTTTTCAAAACAAACTAAAAAAAATTAAAAATTCTCAATAAAATAAAAATAAGCTAAAGCAAAGAAGAAAGGTTTTGAGATAATTCCCTATTTTAGCCGGATATTCTGTGTGTACTCATGAAGTTCCTCTGGCTTACTCAATTGTGCTCAGATGAACCGCGCGTTCCCCATTCCCAGATTTAAGTGTTGTTGTCCTCAGCAACAGATTTAAATCTAAAAAGAATTCGCGTCGAGAAATAAGAACAACCAATTGCTCTCTTGTTGTTTGTTCCCTTTTTCTTCACCTGTAAGATTCACTCAATGATAGCCATTAGTCTCAACACGTTCTCCTATATTTTTTGTATTTTTCTCTTTATTTAATTCAAAGTAAAAATAACTAAAATAGTAAAATTAAAATAAAACAGTAAAGTGTGGGTTTGCCTACCCATTAGCGCTTGTTTTACGTCACGAGCCTGACGTACCTGACTCACTTTCATGGTGGCTCAAAGCATTAGCTTGGTAATAACCAAGCTCCATCATTTAGAAATTGTGTCCTACCGTAGTGCTCTTGTGCATATAAGTGAGATGGTGTTCGAAATGGCCTTGAAGGCCGATGCATGCAAGAGGGAAAAACAAAATTTTTCTTTGCGGAATATACATGCACATCAAGATCATGCTTTAGGAAAGCATGATGTTACCTTGTTCGTGAAATCACCAGATGATCAAGGCCGGTCTGAAGGGTTCAGACCCTCTAACGTTGATCCACACCACCCACTCGTCTAGGTGCAAGAACTCCTTCTTGTGAAACCACCATATGATCACCACAAAGAGGCTTGCTAGGCGCTCTATGTGTGAAGATGGAGGCTAGGTGAAAGTGTTTGAAAAAGTGAAGCTCTTAATGTGAAAGCTTCACAAGTGGCGCAGGAGAGAGGAGAGAATAGGCTAGGTTTTCAGAAAAACCCTTGGAGGAACAACTGAACACTTAGGCACATAAGAGGAGAGTATTTAAAATAAAATACCAATCAGATTTTTCTCCTAAAAATCAGATCATTAGGCGCCAGATAGGAGAGAGAGAAGTGGAGCTGTTTTATTTCAAAAATTGCTAACAGACTCCTAGAATATTCTCTTGAGAATTGGTTCAAAACCTATTCAAAATTCTGATCAGAAATCTTCATAAGATCAGCTATATGGTGCGCCCCATATAGCCCAAAAAGGTGACCAGATACATCTGAGTAGTTGCATTCAAATTTGAATCAACTCACTCAGATTTTCTCCCAACTGACTGAATCTTCTGGAGCTGATTTTGATGAGCAAATCTTGCTCACCAACAACCCAAATCAGCGGCATATATGGCCTTGGATCTTGTCCAAAAGATTCTCTCATGATACTAGTGATTTGTTCCAACAAGATCTCATCTTATCCTTTTGTTATGAAACAACCTTTCATAGGCAATTCAAATTCAAATTCAAATATTTGAATTCAAACATTCAAATATTCAAATTCAAATGTTCAAACATTCAAATTCAAAATTCAAATTCAAAATTCAAAATTTCAAAATTCAAAATTCAAAATTCAAAATTCAAAATTCCAATTCAAAATTCGAATTTCGAAATTCAAATTCAAAATTCAAAATTTCAAAATTCAAATTTTGAATCAAAATTTAAATGTTTGATAATTAATTTAACTAATTAAATTAATTAGTAATGTCTTGGACTATCCAAGCCCATTACAATGAACCATGCGCCCTCCACCCCTTTAGGTGGAGTTCCAAACAACTTCTTGGGCTAATAACTATTATTAGGCCCAATACCTTTAATGCTAGAGCATCTAGACAATTAGGTGTTTGTGTGTGACCCATTAGGTCTAACTTAGCCACTGACATAAATGGGCTTGGGCCCAATAAGCCCACAACCCATCTAATGACAACACAGAGCACTAGCAATGCTTTGTTGCCCCAGAACTAGTTAGATTAATGATTTGATCATCCTATTAAACATATTTGGTTGCCGTATATATTTCCTTTCGTCTCGGTTACCTTCCCATAAAACCTAGGGTAAGGAAGCGTATCAACCCCTGCGGTTTAGGGTAAGCTTTATTCGAAATAGGGAATCTTCAATTTACAGACTCTAAAGGCAGATCATCTCATGATCTCTTTTACTATGCATAGATTCCCGAGTCCCTGTAAATGTCATCCCAATTTCTCCGGTTTACAGATAACCTAATCTCTCACAGAGATTTGACGAATTCCTTCAGCTTATCACCCTAGCCCTGTGTCCTTTCTGGACAAGCCCAACAGTATACCTATAAGTCTCCATGTTTCAGGCAGACGAGGTGCACAATCAAAGCATGCCTTCTAGAACACAGTCTAGGTAATAACTTCTGGTCTTAGGAAAGACATACCCAAATATAAAGAGACTACTCTAATGATACTCTCTGTAAGAGTTCCTCATAGAGTCTCTTTGTGGGTCCGTTCAGTGCGAGCTATACCCTTATAGGTCCACCCACGACTTTAGCTAAGACATCTCCATATCTGTAGCACATGAGGTCTATACCTTGTATCCATATACAAATAGATAAGTCGTGCTAGTCTTACCCGAGATTACTGACCCCATTCTCAGTATCTCTAGACTAGGAACATAAAATTAGGAATAAACATCCGGTATTCTTGAATCCTCATGATTGTGATCTCCTCACAGATACTCAAGAGATACCTATTTTATTCCACGGGGTTTATCAAGTTATTCATAATATATTAATATTAATATCGAGACATAATTATGAAACAAGATAAAGAGTGCTTTTATTTATTTGCGACAATATTAAAAAGGTCTACATCTCGGTCCTTATTTAATCATAAGATTGTCTCTAGGACACCCAAATACTAACATGGTGTAGCCTCAAGAACTTTGAATTTGGTATTTATATGTTTTCCTTTGCTCCTCGTCTTTTCCATCTTAACTTTAGGCATACTTTCTTGAGAAGACTCCTCATTGTGTTCATCTTCACCTTTCTTTTCACCGATATAGTAGACTTGATCTTCCGGTTGATCTACATATGAGGGGACTTCTTTGTCAAAGAACTTGAAAGTTACTTGCTCTCCGTCTACCCGTAATATCAGCTCGCCTCTTAGCACATCAATCAGTGCTCCTGAAATTGCCAAGAAGGGTCTTCCAAAAATCATAGGAATTGTGGCATCTTCTTCAATGTCAAGGATGACAAAATCGACAGGAATGATGAATTTGTCTACCTTAACCAATATGTCCTCAATGATACCATAAGCTTGCTTTGAAGAGCGGTCAGCCAGTTGCACTATCGTCTTTGTGGGCTTCACTTCGGTTATCCCCAGCTTCTTCATCATGGAGAGTGGCATGACATTGATGCTAGCTCCAAGATCACATAAAACATTGTCTACTTCCATCTTGCCTATAGTGCATGGAATGCTGAAGCTCCCTGGATCCTTGACTTTGGTAGGTAACTTCTTTTCGCTGATAGCATTACATTCCTCCGTCAGATTTACTGTTTCACATTCCCGCAACTTATGTTTCCTTGATAATAGATCTTTCAAGAATTTTACATAGTTGGGCATGTTCTCTAAAGCTTCGGCAAAAGGAATGTTGATCTGCAATTTTCTAAATATGTCTAGAAACTTTGAATATTGCTGCTTCTGAATCTTTTTATTTAATCTCTGAGGACAAGGGATTCGAGCATATGGAGAGAGATCTAATGGCTTGTTCTGTCTTTCTAAAGCTTTCTTCTTCTCCCACTTGAATTGTTTCTTTTCGGCTTTTTCAGGATTGCTTTTGTCAACTTCAATTGTATCATGTTCCTTTTCTTCCTTCTCTTCTTCAACTGATGCTTCTCCATCCTTCTTATTTTCTTTGGGCTGTTCCTCTATAGCTGAATTATTGTCCCACTCCTAGTGGTGATAGCATTGCAATGCTCCCTTGGATTGACAACTGTGTTGCTTGGCAAAGCACCCTGAGTCCTTTCAGTGAACTGTCTTGACAGCTGACCAATTTGAGTCTCCAAGTTCCGGATCGAAGCTTCTTGATTCCGGAATGAGGCTCTTGTCTCCTCTCTGAAGGAATTTGAATTCTGAATGTAGTCCGAGGTGGTCTTGGACAGCTCTGCAAATGCTTTTTCCCACTCTGATTGTGGAGGTTGCTGTTGTTGTTGCAATGGCATATGAGGATTCAACTGGTAGTTTGACTTGTAACTCAACCCTGGATGTTGATTCTGATTCTTCTGATCATACCAGAGTCCATTGACCTCTGCTAGTGGCTTTTTCGCTGCTCTTATGTATTCACAATCCTCAGTTGCATGAGCCTCCTGACAAATATCACATTTAATGTTAGCATTAGAAACAGAAGAAACTTGAGAAATATTAAATTTCTTATTAAGAGCATCTGATTGTTCCTGTTGTTTCTTGTGCATTTGTAGCATTTGTTCATTCTGGGCTAAGAGTGCATCATAGCCTTCAAGCTTCATGATTCCTGATCTTCTTGGTGCAACTGGGACTGGAGCATTGTCAAATTCTTGAGATGCTAATGATTCCAACAGTTCAAGTGCTTCCTCAGGAGTTTTTATTTTCAGGGAGCCTCCTGCAGCAGCATTCACCAGTGTTCTTGTGCTGGATGTCATCCCTTGGAAAAAGATTCTTGCTTTCTCCCATGCTTCAATTCCATGTTGAGGACACTTCCTAAGTAATCCTTTAAATCGTTCCCAAGCCTCGTACAAAGATTCGCTGTATTTTTGTTCAAAAGCTGTGATCTCCGCCTTGAGTCTTGCCATTTTTGAAGCTGAGAAAAATCTAGCCAAGAATTTTCTTGCTAAGTCATCCCAATTGGTTATGCTTCCTTCAGGTAGAGACTGCAGCCAATCTCTTGCTTCATCCTTCAGTGAGCATGGAAATAGCCTGAGCAAGATAGCATCACGAGGAACTCCATTTACTTTTAATGTATCACAATAAAGTAAGAAGTTATCAAGATGACTATAGGGGTTCTCCGTGCTTCCTCCAGCGAACTGTTCTTTTTGAATCAGTTGTAGTAGTGCCGGTTTCAGTTCAAAGTTGTTAGCCTCTATGTTTGGTCTAACAATGCTTGCCGTCTGTGGAATTCGAGCTGGGGTCATGTAATCCCCCAACGTCCTTCGAACGATTTGATTGTTTTCTGCCATTGGTTCCGTCGAAGTTGATACCTTTGTTTCCTTCGCTTTCTTTGCTTTTGTGTCTTTCCTAAGTTTCCTTTTTGTCTTTTCTATCTCAGGATCAAATTGCAAGGTTCGCGGGTTAAGAGTACCTCGCATAAACTAAGATTGAAAAGATGTGCAGAAAAATAGAAAAAAGACAAAACAGAAAAACAGAAAAAATAAAAAATAAACAAACAAAGAATGCAGAAAAATAAATATGCAGAAAATTGATGCAGAATTTTAATGCAGAAAAATATATTTGAAGAATGTATAAAGTGCAGAAAATTAAAAGTCCAGTCTAAAATTTAATTAGTTACTTCTAATGTTGAAGAATTCGATCCCCGACAACGGCGCCAAAAACTTGATAGCGACACGGCAAGTGTACCGATCGTGAAAGTAATAAAGTGTACCGGAGTACGAGATCGTTCCCACGAGGATCAGAATTTTCAAGCACTAGTTCGCTAATCGCGTCTTAGTTGGACAATCAAAGGTTTGGTTTGAGAGAATTTAGATGAAAAGAGTTGTGATTCAAAGAACTTAAAATTAAAAACAAGTAAAGGCATGCAATATGAAAATTCAGAATTAAAAGAATGAATGATGATGTTTGATTAAGATTTAAAAAGCGTAGTTAAGGTTTCGACTTCCCCCAATATCCTCAATATGTTATGAATTAAAAAGCCAAGAATCCGTTTCTTAATATATTGCCAATCAATTCTATTTGAGTTAATTAGGGCTCAATTCCTTGTTACCCTAAATCTATGTGATCTTGAAAGAACTCTAGTTCCCCGATTTCCCCCCCAAGAAAACATGCATTAAGATCAAGAATTACAAGATTGCATAATTACCTTATGTCTATTCCTATTCCTATTCCTAGATCACAAGGATTATGATAAATTATCAAGTCAAGGTTCATGCACCAACATCCCTATTGTCATACAATTCCCCAAAATCATTCTATAAGGAACAAACTCATAGAAAGCATTAAAAACAGATAATTTATTCAATTATAAAAAGAACAGGATTCAGAGACAATTTAATTCATAAACATAAAGATTCAATTGGGTTCCATCTACCCTTAACTACAAAAAAAAACTACTCTAGCATACTGAAAAAAAAGAAATAATAAAGAAAAGAGAACCCCAAGCCCCCATTGGTGTGATGTTGACTTGGTTTCTCCGTGTTCCAGTGCTCCGCAACAGGATTCCTCCTTCAGTCTTGGTGTAATGCTCTGGAATTGTGAATTGGTTTGTGCTCTCAAGCTCCTTATTTATAACCACAGGAGTTGTATCCATCATCTAATCTTCCAATGGATCCATACAAGATTTGTATTTGATTTCATCTTTGTTTCCTTTTTCATGTAAAATCTTGGAGATTTGGTTGATGAATTAGAGTTTTAAATCTTCGTTGTATCTTGCTTCAATCTTCTCAGGAATCATCTAGATTTGTTTCTGTTTTAGTTCCATATCCTATTTGAACAAATCTTCTTTAAATCTTCAGCAAATCTTTGGTAAATCTTCTCGCTGTCAAATAACTGATTGCTGTCTGTCTTAGCATGTTTTGGCGTGATGTAGCACACTAAAACGTGCTGTTCGAATGGATTTTGGTAGCTTTGTGGACATTTTAGCGTGAATTAGCACGCCAAAACGTGCTCTTCCAGAGGCGAATCCTTGAATTTTTGCCTTCTTGTGACTTCATCTTCACTTGATGTCTTCCTTTGGTTCCAAGTTTCCATAATAAGTGTTAAAAACCTTGTAATTCAACATTACGACAACATGTTAGCAAGATATTCAATTACTGTAACTTTTACAGCATAAAACCCTAATTTCTATGCAATTCGTAACATATATCAATCATATTTAAGCGTAAAAACATGGTAAACTATAGGTTTATCAGACGTCATTATACTTAGCCAAGTTGATTACTTAATCAATTTCATAAAATATCGCCTGTGTGTAAATTGCAATAAGACATCTACTGAAATACCTCAATATATAGATATTAAGTGAGTATCTAAGTCACGGCATTACATCACGTAATCCGGACAATATCCTGATACATTAATACAACTCTAAATAAAACAAGACATAACTCAGTCTAAGTGGCGTGGACAATCCCCATGCTCACCAAATCAACAACAACATAACGACAGAGTCTCAACAAGATAATCCAAAATCATAAAATGAAGCTAAAAGCATAAAAGCAGCAAGCATAACTAGCATCCAACATGTCAGCATATAATATCATCAATATCTAACTCAGCTCCGGCCTCCTGCAGCCTGGGGCCTCAACCCCCACATTACCTGATCCTGAAATAAGCATTCCCCAAACGTAGGGTGAGATCTCTAAACTAGAAATCTCAGTAAGACAAGGGGTCCTCAAGGATCTTCCACCCCAAGCTCACTTACATGTGCAATATAAGTTCTAAAAGCATTTATATCAATATAAGTTCCAAAACTATGCAGTGCAGCAGATATTCATGCCATGTGTGTTTATCACTATTCTACTGGCCAAAGAAATGCAGGAATACGTCTATCACCCATATGTAGTACAAGGAACACCGCTTGCACCTCACCCACAGCCTCTCCATGTTGTATGTACTACATTCTCAGGCTTACCGTATAGGTGGAACACCACATGCATATCATAAAGGCACTAGCATATAACAACTCAATAGCATTTCCAAAGCATCAAAAGCATGTAACACAGCATGCATATAACCATACCCCCAAGGGACATGGTGGAACCACAACATGGCTAAACCGAGGACACGAAAGCTTACCTTGCAAGCTAGCTATCCAAGCCAAGAGTCCACAATCTCAAAGCCCAAACACAGCAGTATCACAAACTGTTATGGACCAATAATACATCATTAATCAAACTCTACAAGCATACACTTAAAGACAACGTCTTTCTTTTACGTTTTACGTCTTAAGGCTTCTGACAAAGCCACAAGCCCTTAATCACATGATTATGACTTAGTTCATTAATTACAGAAGTTCAACTTCATCAATCTAGGGTCCACAAACCCCCAATAGCCTATTGTACACACAATACAGCTACTGTTCTACGAAATCCCAGAATATCTGGATATTCCTCGGGGACATATCTGAATATCCAATATCCGGATATCAATATCCGGATATTTCACGAGCAAATATCCGGATATTTCGCGACAGAATGCAGTTTCTGCATTTCGCGAAGATATCCATCCAAGGTTGGGTTTTTACCAATTAAAGACACTTAAACATGCATTTCTAGGTGTGTTTGACATTACCCATCGTTAGGTTATCATCTTTTAACCAATACATGCATCAAGGTTCCATTTTTAAGCTCAAAGACTCATGATCAAAGGTTGAACCACTCACCCAAGCTTCAAACAGAAAAGAGGGATGCTCTTGGAGCTCACGACCAACCCCAAAGGTTCTGACTTCACCAAGAAAACGAAAATGAACTCAAAGGTGGTTTCTTTGCACTCAAAGATCACACATTGGTGTACCAAGTGCAATTGCAAAGGCTCCAACAACTCCACCAACCAAGTCAGAACTCAAGGTTCCTCAAGACAGTCCCCAAACTCAGAAAATGACCGCCCTTTTTACTCACCAAGCTCACTCACACTCCAACCAAGTGTTTAGATGATGAAAAAGAGAAGAAAAGGTGAAGTCTTGACACAAAATCAAGCAAGAATGACCAAGGAATGAAGGTGGCAGCATGGAGAGCTCACACACCAGAAAAGAGTCACGTAGGAGGCTGGTATCCACCTAGGGTTTTGTGCAAAATGCACTTATATAGCCACTTTAAAATAAAACACACAGTATTAACTTTAATTGCTACGCTTAGCATTTTAATCCCAAACTTTGGATTCTTAACCTACTCAATTTTACAAGAATTATCATATTTTTATTATATTTTTCGGAGCACCTTTCCGGTATACGCTTTTCATAGTCAGTATCAGTTTCTGGCATCAGTTCTCATTAATTTAACTTGAAACTCGTTTTACAAGTCCTATATATTATTATAGGAATTATCATGCACTTATTATAATTTTTCGGGATACTTTTTTGGTACACATTTATACCGCCTAGCAGAATCGGTATCTGCACTTTTCTTCCGAAAAGTGACTTTCAGCATTCTTAATCACTTATCATAATTATTAAAGCCCCTTAATAATTATTAGGGTCAATTATGGAATCATTTCCTATTTTCACATAATTAATTACTTAATTTTCTTTAATTAATGGTGCGGGTTCTTATAGTCATCGTAATGTCATTATTGAAAGTGATTCAAAAAGTTTGATCACTATGCTCACTAATCATGGTGAAGCAGTCCGTGAAGGTCATCTGATTTTTTCGCATACAGACATGGTTACTTAGGGACTGGAATGTGGTTTTCCTTCACACTTTTAAGGAGGGGAACACCTGTGCTGACTGGTTAGCAAATTACATTTTGGATAATGGGGAGCATGTTCATCAGCTGTTTTGGGAAGACCCTCCTCCTAGTATTTAGATTTTGCTCCTTGCTGATGTGGCTTCTGTTTCTAGGCCTCGTCTTTTGATTTGTAATAGTTAGGCTTTTGGTTCCTTGGCTTTGGCTTTGTTTTGCTGAA